GCAAAAGAATGCGGTAGCGATCATTCTTGCTTGCTGTTGCCATGAATCTGGGACTACACGTTTCACACGCGTATCTTTGGTGCTCAGGAAAACAGCTGACGGTCCTTCCTTTAAATTCTTGCAACGTTGCGGTATTTGTTTAATTATCTTGCACAAACGGAAGACGAATAATTGATCCTGAAACAGGGCATGAATGGGTGGCATGTGTCGATTGCTAGCTCGGCTACCGTTTCGTTGCTGATCATGCGTATAATCGTACGTGGCAAAACCTGAAGCTTCTGCGCTGCCCATGCATTACCACGGTGTCTCGTACGCGTAGACTTTGCCACCATCGCCGGTGGCATTTCTCAACGTGTTATGCAGCTGATTTCTTGCCGCACTTTCTGGCTACCTTTTTGGAGCCCGTAGTACATCAGCTGACGTCATTTCTGAGGTTGTTAGTTTTAAAGTAACAGTGTCCTGCTGCTGTATCCAGCGCCTTCCCTCAACAGTGCATGTATAGTTTGAATGCAGTTTATTTACCTTTGGCTTTTCTGAGAGGACATTGGATAGCGCAGTTTTTCCCACGGTAAAACAACAAAAGCGAACGACGGATTCTTCTCCGGATCCGTCGTGCCATTCCAGTCGCTTCTAGAAACATAGGGACCGTTTAAAACGGCCACTTGGTAAAATATTTCAGCTCTTTCAGTACGTGAGCATGAAACAGCGCCACTTTGCTGAGTCGAATAAAAATATATCCGCCATGTTAGGTTGTTACTATAGCCAACAAACTGGTTCCGTTGACGTTGCGCCCATGTGCTATAAGTACTCCAGTAACATGGAACCGCTGCCTGCCTAAACGGTGGCCTAGGCTATTAAGCAAGTTGACAATGTGACGATGCTATGCGACTGCAGAGAATTGACAGGAGATTGTTATCCTTACCGGCGGTCCCGAAAACTATCAGTTTCCTAGGAAACTCATAATAAGGAAACTAATTTGTATAAAAACAACCGAGCCTTACATAAACAAGCAGCAAAAGTCGTCAGCTTGTAAGTGCCTCCCTATAAGCACTGTTTCAACGATATGATTTGTACGTTTGGACTGTGTGTCGGAGGTTCCATCCTCTCAACGGGTTGAAACGTCTTCTCATCTCTGGCCTACAAGCACCTGCGTCTGGTGTTGGATGGGAGACTGGAGATTGCTGGAGATTGTTTATAAGCGTCTCTTGGGGACGTTTAATATTTTTAGCCTTGCAGTCTTGTTTCTCGACATCAATATTATCCAGTAGTAGCAACTGCTTCGAATATGGTCACCAACACGATCGAAGAGGATACGGACAACAATAAAGTACAGTTTATCATAATCTTTGTTTATCATAACCTGTTGGTGGTTGTGTCCAATATATAAGTCTGTAAATATTATGAGGGCAAATGATGACTGTTCACATGAGGAACAGGTGTTTCGTGTTTTGTTAGTATATTAGATCGTAATGATCGCAACCAGCTGTTCATAGCGAATCGGAATAGAAAGAGAAACGACGAAATGACTGTTCTAGTTTCGTTCAACGAGTAGGGTATTTGCTGTTGTGACAGACGTTCATCGGTCGTTGAAAAATTTCAAGCGTCCATCTCGTTCAAGCGTCATCGCGTCGTGCCTCCTCCAGGGTTAAGGGAAGGGCGGACAAGGACACGAACTGGGTCATGGCGAGTCTTACGGCACTAACAGAAGCGTTTCGATGTGTACGTGTCATCATCGCATAGGTCGTTGAATATGCGACCAGGCGAAGAACTTGGTGGAAGCGACATGGGTCACCGACCGCCATCCAACTGGGTCATCACGCTGGCACAAAACACAGGTCGTTCATACGACCTGGAGGATCGTCACCGGCGCTGTCTTCGTTACAGCGTTTATGTGACATTACCATCGACGATCAAACTTCAACCGTCAGTGTGTCCGTTGCGACGGTGTCGAGTTGCGAATACCTCTTCGTCATAGCCCGCGTCGGTCAGTCGTTGTATCGAATATCGTTTCGCTTCGCTTACCTTCGAAAATGTGGATCAGTCCACAGAGGGCCATTTCGCTGTGGATTCTCGTTGCTTCCTTTAACCTGGTCGCTGGTAAGCACGGTCATCTTACTTAATACACATACACGATTAGTCTTTATGTAACATAACAGATGATCACTGGTATCTCAT